CAAATCTTTGTGGGTTAATTGAGGCTAATGATTTTAGTGAAACACTAACGAATGTGAGTGAGAAAGTTAAACATTTCTCACCTACGAATGATGAGAGCGAAGTGACAGAAAAGTATAATTTGGTTGTCAATGTTGATTTAAAGTTCTCTTCAAATATTATTGTGATGTTGATCGCCAAAGATACTATAAGACCATTAAATCATTCATAAGCCAGATTCAAACTATCTATGCTTGCAAGATGAACATAGTAAAATAAAATGGAAGATACACAATGAATGCAATCTATTCACAAGCGAAGGTTGATTGAAAAATGCAACGATATGATTGCAATCAAGACAAGAAATTTCATTGAGATATCAATATGTCATCATATTGATTAGGATGAACATGTTACCAAGCAAGTTTGCTACACAAGATTTGAACCATCTTCACATGGGAATGGAAGATTTATGATGTTCAACAAAGCTCTTCCACCATTAACAATCAACAATGATCGTAAAGAATACGATGACCTACTTACCGACAATAATAATTAGCATACAATGAGTATAGTAGTTTTTCCAACACTTAATAATCAACTAGCCCTCAAGCAAAGAATAACAAAGAGCGAAAAGAAAGCAAATGACTCTTAAGCACCACGAAGGAAGAAATTTTAGATGAATACACAAACATCATGTTCAAAATGACACATAATCCTTCTACAGTCAACATAAGTCAACATGCAAGAAAATTTAGGAGATTCTTAAAATCAATACACATAAAGAAACTGATGACAAAGACAGCGACCCGTCGATCAATATATGTGGAAAGATGGGTGACAAATGCAGCTCAATTAATGAATAGCATAAGCATGTAAATGGATATATTAACTTGCATGCGAGCAACGACAATAAACGTATTACAAGGATAAGGGGTCCTTCGCAAGCAAATAGAAATCGACATGAAAATGAATGTGGATATCTGTTGGCAACAATGAAGGGTTTATGTATGCACAGTAGCATATGTACAGTTGGTGACTAGAGACGAGCATTAGATGTTATAATGCACTTGTTATTGATGATCACTTAATGACAAGCAAGTAAGTCAATCCCCTTTGCAATAAGAAGAAAATGTCATACAGTAAAGGTAAATGCCTATGGGTCCTTATAGAAGACACATTTTAGGAGACCTACCACGCATAAAGTGCCATCTACAAACAAATATCAAAATACTATGACAAATGTGAGCTTCTACGAGCTATCGTAGAAGACTCATCAAATATTTCATGAATACCCACACAAGTGCACCGTAGTTTGTATACACATAGGTACACATAAGGAGATGTATAAAACACCCGCATGGACCCCAACAAGCATGTTATAAGTACACACATGATGTCTAGGGATGTTGCACAGGTTAATAAGTGAATTCAAGTTTGAACCTGATCCTACTATATAGATAAATAGGAGTCGACAGGGTTCGAGTCATCAAACAAATACACGGTTATAACAACCAATATATTTATTTTAAAATATTCATATTAGTCCTTCAAGGCCTATAACAATATGAATTCACTGATAAAGGCACAAAGCCTATGAAACCTGATCCTCTATCGGCAAGTTGATAAGGTCGACAAGGTTAAATCAAATAGAAATGACCCCAAACAAATGTATGGGCCCCCGCGAGCTTGTTATAAGTACACACGTGACGTCTAGGGATGCTGCACGGGTCAATAAGTGAATTCAAGTTTGAACCTGATCCTTCTATACAGATCAGTAGGAGTCGATAGGGTTCAAACCATCAAACGAATACATAGTTATATTAATCAAAATATTTGTTTTAATACATTCATAGTAGGCTTTTAAGGCCTATAATAATATGAATTCACTAATAAAGGCACAAAGCCTATGAAACTCGATCCCCTATCGGCAAGTTGATAGGGTCGACAATGTTAAATCAAATGAAAATGACCCCAAACACCCGCATGGGCCCTAACGAGCATGTTATAAGTATACACATGACATCTAGGGATGCTGTGCGGGTCAATAAGTGAATTCAAGTTCAAACCCGATCCTTCTATACAGATCAATATGAGTCAACAGGGTTCGAACCATCAAATAAATATACAACTAAGGGACTAGTATATTTATTTTAATATATTCATATTATGCCTTTAATGCCTATAATAAAAAGAATTCACTCACAAGGGCATAAAGCCTACAAAACTTGATCCTCTGTTGATAACTGGATAGAGTTGACAAGGTTCAAAACATAAATATTTTCAAATGGAAATGACCCCATATTCACCACTCCATTGATGGCCATGTTGAATGCAGATCTCAACCGAAGGGATTAATTTTAAACATTTCAAAATACCCTCAAACTTCTACAAAATTCAAATATTTTCAGGTGACCTCAAAGTCACCCCGATGATGGCCATGTTGAATGAAAATATCAACCAGACGGGTTAACTCCAAATATTTCAAATTTTACCCAAATACCCATGAAAATAAAAAATTCAAAATCTTAAAAAAATCCAAAAATTCCAGATATTTAAAACTGAAATCCATCCATCAATACTTAAAGCAAAATTAATCCACCCTCCGCAAATGTTTGCCGGGGTGGATGAATTAAAATTTACTTCAGCTCATAAAAAGCTAATGCCTAGTAGAAAATAGCACTATGCTCCATTCTCAAATAATCTCCTGCAAATAAAGACGTGGTATGTGTTCTCTAACTAGCGGTTTTGCCGCCACATGGTACCACAAGATAAACTGTTATGACCCGGGGCCCTTTGATCCTAGTGGTTTTGCCTCCAAATGGCACTACGAAATACCGATTATGGCCAGAGCTAGTACACTCATTAGTGGCATCAAATCCTTGAGATATGAATCAATAGCTAATGATCGATAGGGCACAAAGCGCTCTATTAGCTAAGGTGGATTCAAATTTGTCCCCTTAGATAAAAATCCAACCCAGGTCTACAAGATCCCTTGGATGAAGCAACCCATGACTGTCGACAAGGATCCTTCTGTCAAGTTGAGTCGACTACCTCCTTTGACTAAGTAGACCAGAGACCACAATGGCCCGTGACGACGGAACCAAGAGATCTTGATCAGATCCATCATCCATTCCCCCACCATCCGCATTAAGTGCTAGATGATGAAATTTCTATTTTAAATATTAAAATTTTCAAATTCTCAAATCCAAGCCTATTGTTGCTACTATATGCCAGATACTACATATCTGATTGACGACTAATCTTAATCAAAAGTTCTCTCTCATGATTAGAAGGGGTAATTAATTATAGGGGCATGCGCCTATAAGAAACCATAACTCAGATCATAAAGTCCTCGCAAAGTGAGGGCGAAATCTCTGGGTAGTGTCTTATCTACAAACCCATATGCCTTCCAAAATTTACCCCGGAACCTAAATCCGTTAAAACTCCCCCAAGAAAGAAAAAGCAGCAATGTGGACAGAGGTGGCGGCCGAATTTTCGGAGCCCACATGTCCTTAGGGCCTCGATCTACATTCTTGCTTTAGTTACCTTTTTTTTTAGGTTCATAGACTATTTGAATTATTTTCTTGTATGCACATTCTTTTATCATTCTAATTCTTATAACAATTGTATTAGTATATAAAATAAATCCTTAATGATTAAACCAATTATGTTTGTGAATATCAAAATATTTGATATGAGTTGAAACTCATGGGAGCCAAAATCTTACCTTTATGACACAAAAATCGTCATTTAAATTATTTATAAAAATACTTATAAGTAATGCTCCATGTTTTCTTGAAATTCTTATTGATAAGCTTACAATATTATTAATAGAGATTTATGGTTGTAAGTATTTATGATCCATGCATTTTGAGAATGTAGTGTAAATTAAATATAATGGATTTCAAGGGTTTGAATGTTGGTAAAAGAAAAAAAAAGTTATTTTTAGTTATAATTGTTTGTAAAATTTTTTTTTAGGACAATTATTTATGTACTTTTTAATCCAATGTCCATTTAATTTCCTTCTCCATTCTTAGCCATTCTAGAATGTTAAGCAAATAGTTCCACCCTCCTAGAGGCAATATATTTAAATTTTACAATCCCTATTCTAATCCATATGAGAGAGCACACTCAATTATTAGAGCCAATGGAGTTCCACCCAAAATAATAAAAGACCAAATTAAAATGACTTTCATTTAAATCCACGACACAATTTTGACCCAATTCAGGTAGTTAGGAGAGTGTGATCAAAGACAAGATTTGATTTTTGTTACAGTAAAGCATAATTGAGATATAAGAAAATACTAAGGGCTTGATAGGTTGATAAGTTAGTGTTGTAGACTATGGTTTCGTTTGGGACGGCTTTTTTATTGCTTTCTAAAATAGAGTTTTAATACAAAAATAAAAAAATTTGTACTAAAACTCCGTTTTAGAAAGCAATAAAAAAGCTGTCCCAAACAAAGCCTATATTGCTAACATTTTGAATGATCATTTCCAAGTTGGGGTATATTATTCACAAGGAGTTCAAAAGTAGATTTTTTTTTTTATTTGTGTATGGGAAGATGTATTTAAAATTTGTTCAATTTAAACTAATTATGAATTAATAAAAAGGTCTTTTTGTTTTTCAAATTACTTTCAAAAAAATTTTAAATATGTTTTACTTCAAACACAATACTTAGAAAATTTTAAAAATATAATTCTATTTTACATTCCTAATCTTTTATTTAAACAATATAATATTTTAACAAAGAGCCATTTATTTAATATTGAGTGAGCAATGATAAAAAATAGTGTTAAAAAAATTCAATAATCAACATAAAATATTTTGAGTTTGAAAATTTTGATTAACTTCTAATTGAAATAAATCTCAAAGTCTTTAAATTTAATTTTAGATAAAAATAAAATATATTTGGGGAAATAAATTCAATATTTTTTTTGGGAAAATTATGGGAATTCAATAATTTTGAATAAATAATTTTATATAAGCTAATTTTTTCTTATTCCAAATACTCGCAGAGTACGCCCCGCCATGAGCACCGGTACCAGCTCTCGCTCCCGTGCCCTCGCCCAGCAAAATATGTGAGCAGCGTGCTAAGGTTAGTGCATCATCTCCTCTCTCTCTCTCTCACTCGTTTCTCCTTCTCCTCTGTGACCATTGAGCACCTCGAGTCCACGACAATAGCAAACTTGCGCTCTCTCCGGCGAAGTCTGCACTCACCAGCCGCGCGCGGGATCCGGAACACCAGCTCATTTCTGTGACTTTCAACCACCACATCATTGGCGGTGTTTTTTCTTTGCGCTTCCGCACCTCAGTGTTGCTCTCCATCGCTGGCGTCCCATAGCGCCGTAGCTCCGGAGTTTCCCGCATCGAACATCAAAAAGTATTCCCCTTATTCACAATCGACAATCTCTCTACTTCTGTACGACCCTCACGTATCTTCACGCCTGGTGCAATATCACGACAGAAGCCCCACGATTTAATGTTGGCAACTGGCGACTTCACCGTTTTTGTCCGTCCTTTCACTCTCTCATTTCCATTTCGTCCATCAAACGTGGAAAAAAAAGTATCGCAGCCCGAAACTGAATGCCCTAGGTTAGCATTCTCCTTTAGTCCCTATTTGGCTTTATCTTGTTTCGTTGCATTTTTTGGCCTCTTTGACAGCGAAAAAAAAATATGCTTTCGCTAGTGAAAAGTTAATTGTTTTATGACTATGCATGGAATAAGCATTTAATCTATCTAAACCGTATATCTCTTTCTTTGGCTGGCTGGACTGGCTGGATTAATTTGATCTGCTAATTCACATGACCTTCCCCCTTTGAATTATTATTTGCTGCATTATGGAAGCCTTGGAATTAACTATTCGATGGCGATAGCAAATAGACTTTTTTTTTCATACATCATATTAGAAGTGTGTAATTTTTCTAGAACATTTACGAGTAACAGAGCTAAATGGTACCAAGGTTTGTGATAATGGTAGTGAACAAATCTAAAGCTATATGTTTTGATGATTTATGTAAATGCTCTGTTCTGATGAAGCAAAAATTGAGATATATAAAAATAACTAACGTAAAAGATTAGAGATTTAGGGACTTCATGAAAAGGTTGGAGCAGCTCCAATAGAAGATAAGATTAGAGAGTCGCCTTAGATGGTTTGGTCACATAAAAAGGCGGCCTTCCGATGACCTGGTTAGGAGAGTATTGGTATTAGATTTGACTTGTGTTAAGAAAGGTAGGGGTAGACCTAAAAAGACTTGGTTAGAAAATATTAGGAATGACCTTTCTTTATTAGATTTAAACGAGAATTTGACTTTTAATAGGACACAATGGAGAAAAAAAGATTCATGTAGCCGACCCCACATAGTGGGATAAAGGCTTGATGTTGTTATTGTTGTTGATCATATTAGATGTATTAGAATTGATTATAATCAAGGTTGTGAAAACCGGACCAGACAAAGAACTAGAAGAAGAAGTTCATGGTTCGACCAGGGTTCAACCGGGGCTAAACCAGACGACGTACAACAACAACAACAAGCCTTTATCCCACTACGTGGGGTTACATGAATCATTTTTCTCCATTGTATTCGGTTAAGAGTCAAATATTCATTTAGATCTAATAAAGAAAGGTCATTTCTAATATTTTCTAAACAAGTCTTTTTAGTTCTACCTCTACCTTTCTTAACATAGGTTAAATCTAATACATCTACTCTCCTAACCGGGTCATCGGAAGGCCACCATTTTATGTGCCATCTAAGGTGACTCTCTCTAATCTTATCTGCCACTGGAGCTACTCCAACTTTTTTGCGTATATGCTCATTTCATATCCTGTCTCTAAAAGTAAAGCCACTTATCCACCTGAGCATCCTCATCTCTGTAACACTTAACTTAATATTATACTTCTCTTTTAATGGGCAACATTCTGCGCTATAAAGCATTGTAGGTCTAACCACCATCTTATAGAATTTTTCCTTAAGTTTTAGTCGTACTTTTTTTATCACAAAACAAGCCCGATGCATACCTCCACTTCATCCATCCAACTTGAATTCTACTATTAATATTCCCATCTATTTCAAATATTAATTTTATTTAAAAATAACATAATAAGGACATAATCGTATCAAATATGTGATAACAAATTAAATAAAATAACAATTATGATACATGAAGCATGAATAAATACAATATTTTTTTAAAAAATAATATTAGAAAATTCATTATCATTGCCTAAAAATAGACAATAATAATTAAGTGGAAGAAGCCATCCAATTCTCTTCCCTCATATCATAATTATATATAATGCCAAATTGACAACTATTAGTAAGGAACATGACTTATTACTCATTATAGCTTCTAGCATAAGATTATGATGTAGATGATGTGCTGGATGTGAATTTTGAAAGTGAAGATAAAAGAAAAATTCAAGCTATTAGGTCATGGTTTATAACATACAACCAAATTAGATCCATTAAAAAGTTGATTGATATCATTTTTAAAAGTATTGTAACACAGTCAGAATTCATCTCAATTCATCATACCATTTTATATGGTCCTTATTTTCTAGAAATTAATTTCTTAAATACTCTAGTAGGAAATCTGTCAAGATTTAGATGAATTGTTACTTACATACCGTATAGATATTAGCTAGCCTTTTTAATGCATAAGCAGATTTGTTTATATTGCATGGGTCTGTCGGAACTTTCCAATTTTCTTATTATGTTTCTCTTCACTTCCTCAATTCTTCCCCTACACCAATTTCTTCTCTTTCAAGAACTTTGCTATAAAGTCCACCACAATACACCATACATTTGATATCAAATCACCTTTTAAATACCGACCTTTTATGAAGTGCATTTCGATATTTTTATATCATATTATTGACTTATGGCTGGAACAAAATAACATTATGGGACGAGAATGGAAGCTGGAACAGGAACATCGAATGCGAATGGGGTTGGGATAGGGTCGAATGCGAATGAAATATAGAAACAACAATATTTCAAAATACGGTTATGGAGAACCTGAGCCAGTTCACTAGTTGAGCGGTTTGACCGCAGTTTCAAGCGGTTAGATCGCTGTTACACGTGGTTTCTTTTCGGTTCAAGCGATGCCAATTATATTAAAAGCGTGGACCGGCGGGCGGGCCAGTTCCTGGTTCATTGAACTTGCCCGGTTTTAAGTGACGCCAATCATATTTTTATATTGCTTATTAAGATGCTCACAATATATATTCAAAGTAAGGTTCATTGGTGCATATTTTCCACAAATCACATAAATCTATTTGATAAGAAATGCACCAAAATAAGTAAAATTTATACAACAACAACAACATCATCAAACCTTTATCCCACTACGTGGAGTCGGCTGCATGAATCCTTTTTCTCCATTGTGTCATGTTAATAATCAAATTCTCATTTAAATCTAATAAAAAAGATCATTTCTAATATTTTCTAACCAAGTATTTCTAGGTCTACCTCTACCTTTCTTAACATAGGCCAAAATCTAACACATCTACTCCCCTAAGAGGTCATTAGAAGGCTGCCATTTTATATAACCAAACCATCTAAGACGACTCTCTCTAATCTTATCTGTCACTGAAGCTACTCCAACCTTTTCACGGATATGCTCATTTCATATCCCATCTCTAAGAGTAAATCCACTCATCCACCTGAGCATCCTCATCTCAGCAACACTTAACTTAATATTATGCTTCTCTTTTAATGGCCAACATTCTGCGCCATAAAGCATTGCAGGCCGCATGACCATCTTATAAAATTTTTCCTTAAGTTTGAGTGGTACCTTTCTATCACACAACAAATTTGAAGCATTCCTCAACTTCAACCATCCAACTTGAATTCGACTAATAATATCCCCATCTATTTCAGCATCACTCTGAATAATAGACCCAAGCTATCTAAAACGAGTACACTTATTAATGACTTGATCACTCGAAGTCACAAACCCCCCCAGTAGATCTATTACTATTAAAATTACATTACATATATTCGGTTTTAAATATACTCAAATGAAAATAAGAAAAATTTATAGCAATGAAGAAAATCTTTAAAAGATCGAAGGCTTAGGATTTATTTAAGAAAGATTGAGTATATGAGTTCAATATTTATAATTATAAAAAATAAAATACACTTTTATTCAGTGCAATTTTTACTATTTTAAAATCAATATTATTAGGAGATAAATTGATATTTAGGCTTGATAGATTTAAATATCTTAAATCTATTATATAAAAGAATAACGACACAATAATTAAAGTTACAATCAATGATGACAACAACAACAAGCCTTTATCTCACTATGTGAATCCTTTTTCTCCATTGGTTCTTGTGAAGAGTCAAATTCTCATTTAAATCTAATAAAGAAAATTCATTTATAATATTTTCTAACCAAGCCTTTTTAGGTCTACATCCACCTTTCTTAACATGTGTCAAAAATCTTATGCATCTACTTTTCTAATCGGGTTATCGGAAGGCTGCCGTTTTGTGTGATCAAACCATCTAAGGCGACTCTCTCTAGTCTTATATTCCTCTGTAGCTGCTCCAACCTTTTAATGTATATGCTCATTTCGTTCCTGTCTCTAAGTGTAAAGTCACTCATCCACCTGAGATCCTCATCTCTACAACACTTAATATTATGCTTCTCTTTTAATGACCAACATTCTGAACCATAAAACATTGCAGGTCTCACCACCATCTTAAAGAATTTTTACTTAAGTTTGAAGGGGACTTTTCTATCACACAACAAGCCCGATGCATTCCTCCACTTCAACCATCCAACTTGAATTTTACTAATAATATTTCAATCTATTAGACCATCACTCTGAACAATAGACCCAAGATATCTAAAACATGTACTCTTACTAATGACTTGATAGCCCAAAGTCACAATCCCTCAACTAGATCTATTAATACTAAAATTACACTTATATTCAGTTTTAGATCTACTCAAACAAAAATCTTTAGACTCGATAGTTGACCTCCATAATTACAATTGAATGATTAAAATTGAAAAGTGCTCCATGAGTTATATGTGATAAAAGGATATCATGGAAATTTAATAGCAAAAATAAAATTGCAAGTAGGATGGCTATGTTATATGGATTTGGTTGTTGGGAAATAAACAGTATGATGATAATTAAGTTGTGCATTAAAAAAATAGGACTATTAAGATAAATGTGTGGGAGGAATAGAACAGATAAATTAAATAATGATTATATTCGATGAATGATTTGATTGATGGGTATTAAAAATATGAAATTGAAAGTAGTCCTAGGTGGTTTGGAAATTTACAACGAAGGAAAAAATGCTCCTTTAGACAAATATTCTTAATTAGTGTCATAATTAAAAAGGAAAATGGATAGAGCTAAGGTAATATTGATATAAGTTTTTCAAAATGATATCAAAGAATATGATTAGCATGGACTGGCTCCAAATTGTTGGATAGAACTAATGATGATGATGCTAAGAAGGTTGCCTTCCGATTTGTGTCTTTTAAGTACGTTTTTGAAATGCTAAGAAGCCATGTCGGATCACTTTCAGTTTTTATTTTTTTGTTTTGTTTTGCTTATGTTTCAATATGAAATAAGAATACCTTTGATATTCTAATTTCTAAATAGTAATGTTCTATTTTTATTCAATATTGCTTAAGATAGTGATGACAGCTGTCTAGGGTGATGACTAGTGGCTAATGGCGGTGGATTTTATTTAAATAGCACCTAAATATTATTTTGGGCTTTTTCAAAAAATAGCTTGATTTATTTTCAAAACAAAAATAAAAGCAATTAAAAGACACAAATCAAACTCATTTTTCAAAAAACAAAAAAATACAAATAAAAATAAAAAAATGATTCTTAATTGCCCCCATAGAAACATCAGGATTTGCCACAATTTAGAAATAACTTATATTTAAAGTGTGTGTGTCATATCTGACCAAAGTGCAGTTCATGATAGCACAAAGCATGCTGGTTTATTTCTTGTTTATTTAGTTTATGCTAAGAAACTGTTGAATTATTTGGCCTTGTTTTGTTTTATATATTTTATCAAATTTGTTTCACGGTGATATATCTCTTTGATTTGGATCTACATTTGCTTCTATACGTTTATGCTGTGCATCATAATTCAAAGTAAAATCTATTTCTAATGGAATTTTATCTGATAACTTTTTGTATTCTATCAGTATGGTAGCTGCAAAGTTAACCGATGATAGCAAACACAAATTTTTTACTTATTTTTCCTATCATTCTATCATTTTACACTAACCTTCTAGAATATTGTTTTCAGGCTTTGCACTTCGAAGTTATTGCTCATTGATTATTATGTTTTAATGTTGACCTACTACTTGATTTGAATTTATCATTTAGCTGTTATAAGAATTGTTTGGTCTCAAGTCTTTATCTCACAAAATTGGAATTTCGTCCAGCTTTTGTTTCTTCTAATTGAAGTTGCCTAGGTGGTGCAATGTTCTCCTTAAGAGCTCTCCAACACCTTTCAATATTGAGTGGAGCCTCCTTCCGGTTGTTCATCCGGGGAATTCATGGAGGTTGTTTGTTATCCCTGTTGGGACCAAAAGAATTGATCTTTAAAATTCTCGATTCCTTTATTTTCAGCTAGCTTTTGTTTTTGCCTTTAGGCATTATTGAAGGTGGAAGAGAGGAAGCTAACTCAATTCATCCGACTGCATTGATTCATCAGAATGCAATTCTTGGAAAGGTGTCAATATCTTAGTCCCTCTTTGTATATTGTTTCTTGATACAAAATCATCGATACTTCTCATAATTTTTCATACTAATTACTTGAATTTGAGTTAGTGCTCATATTTGTCTATAACATCATCAAATTATCATCAGTTCTGTTGGTCTATGGTTATGATGCCAATTTAGATGGCCTATTTTCGTGTGAAAAAACCCCTCTTTGTTAAGGTTGAGCTAGCATGAGCCTGATTTATGTCATTGTTATTCAATCTCCATGCCTTGCTTTAGTTATACTGGTTTGTATGATGAATATAAGTATTTCAAGGGATGGAGAAATATATGTGTGAAGTAGAAGATCATGAATTGGAGAGTAAATTTTTCTACCCAAATGATACACACAACACCAAGGTAAATATGCCAAATGTGGCATAATTCAGCACTCGAGAAATCAAGTAGAGATACTATTGAAAAAGAAATCATAAAAGAGAAATACTCTTTTGTTATTCCAATTAAATGGACCAAGTCCACTTGATATAGAAGATTCAAGCACCCAAGGAAAGAACGGTGCAGAAATTGAAAATAATAGATAAATAGGAAAAAATTAATATTATAATATGATTCTGCTTTTTTATTTGGGTAATTACTAGGAATTTAGGTGCATGTGACTATTTTTTCTTGGGTTGTGAGTTGTGATTGATCCATGTATGGATAACGGATAGCAATCTGGAATTCTTTGACCTAATTCAGTGCAGGTTTGTTGTCCGCCCTTACAAGAATTAATTTATGATTGATTGAAACTCTGTTCTTTCCTTCTTGACTGATGCCCTTACCTTTACCTTATTTGAAAATCAGTTCCTGATTTTTAGGAGTCATAACTCTTTCCCATTCTGAACATAGTTTATGCCTTTCTCCTTGCTTTAGCTTAGAATTTCCACATTTCCTGTTATGCTGGGAATATATGTTGATCATTAATAGCTTGGAATTGAGGTTATCTAATTATATTTAATTACCGACTTTAGTGAGGAGGTTAATCATTTGAGATTTCATAAGGGTGTAGATCACTTCCATAATTTTCGGTTTAAGTTTTTCTTTTATGAAGTTTCTATCAATTTCGACATGCATGTCCTATCATGGTGGACAGGAATTTACTAATGCTGATTGTAGCTTGGTTGCCAGACATCATCATCATTGGTTCATTACTATGATTTTTTAGATTTTCTAGAAGTTTTATGAGTCACAATTCTTCACAAATTCTGTAGTCGTGACTCTGAATTTAGCTTCAATGCCACTTCTAGCAACAACAACTTGCATCTTACTTTTCCAATGTGACTAAATTTTCCAATATATAGAAGCAGTCACCAGAAATGGACGTACGACTATTTATAGATCCTGCCTAATAAGCATCAACAAAGATTTCAATAATGCTATTTATTCATTTCTCAAAGAGTAGGCCTTTTCCTGGTGACTTCTTAAGATATCTTAATATCTTGTAAACAGCATCATGATGTTCCTTAGTGAGGGCATTCATACAATGACTAATTATATTGACAGCAAAATAGATGCTAGGTTTATCATGGAAAAGGTAGATGCGTTTTTCAATCAGTCATTGCTATCTTTCTTTGTCCACTAGCTGCGTTCTCCTTTGGATTTAATTTTATGAATATGATCCATAGTGGTATTAGTAGGTTTACATCCTATCTTACCATTTTCTTCTACTAGTCGGTCCAGGGTATATTTTTGTTTAGAGATATTTAATATTGAAATTTTTATATCATAGACAATCTTGATCTACAATCTTGATCTTGATTTTATCCCTGGATGATTCCTTGATAAATAGTGTGTTCAGACTATCCTTGAGAGTACTCAATTTTTAATTATAGCAGTGAATTTGTTGAACTTGGAAGATCTTATCCAGTGGAGCAAAATCTCTTCAACCAATTACTAGATGGAAAATTGCTTCAGGTACATCTATTAATATCTTGAAAGATGTATGGATATTAGATAAAAGTCTTGATAAATGGCCGACTTTTATTGCGGTATTGGTTTATGATTTTCCATCAATTGATTATTTCATAGTTGATGGAAATTGGAATAAGGAATATCTAATTTTTTTTTTGGAAATTCCTTAGTTGTAGTCATCTTGTAAATTCAGATTTTTACTAATCTTGAAAGTGATTGTTTGGAGATTATGAATAAGTTCTCGAGTAAAAGTATAGCAGCTTTGGCATCTTATAATCATGAAGATGATCTTTCTGTTGTGGATTATGCAAAATGGTTAAAAAGCTTCACCTTTCTCCTCGGGTGGAATGCTTTTGGTGGTGTCTATTTAACAATGCAATTCCAACCAATGATCTTTTAATGCATCGAAGACTGTTGGGACACAACTTATGTCCTAGAGGATGTTGAAGTGGAAAATATTGAGCATGTAATGGTGAATTGTTCAAAGCTTGCTCAAGTCATTGATTTGCTTAAGTCATAGGGATTTTCGATTCCTGTTTTCTCGTCAATTAGAGATTGTAAAAGAAAATTGGAACTGCTTTCTTCGGCTAATCCTTTGATTGCAAAGATTTATCGTGCCATGGTTTATTTCTCGTGGAAGAGTAGAAACAAGTGCAAGCATGGTGATCATGAATTTGGTTTAAGCTTTATAGCTTCCAATGCTATAAGTTTTGCATCAATTTCGAACTCTAATCTGTTTGTGGACCACTGGGGTGCTAACCACCCTAATCAGCTGTCTCCTTATTGGCACCCTCCGTCCCCAGGATGGATTAAAGTCAACCTTGATGCATCTTTATGAAAATCAAATAATGGTGGAATTGGTGGATTATTTAGAGATTTAGAAGGTAGATTCTTACTTACTTTTGGGTTTAATTGTATTCATTGGAATATTGGAATATTGGAATTGATGGCATTTCAGTCCTTGAAGAAAATAATCCTTGAATGGATGTTGGATGCTAAAAGGATAATAATTGAAGGTGATAATCACAATATCGTCAAACATTTGCAGAACTCAGTAGATAATGCAGTCCGAAATGTACATAATGAAGAATGGGAGGACTTATCATTCTTGGAAGGATTTGACAAGGTTTTATTTCACTTTGCAAATAAAAACTGTAATAAGTTAGCTGATTATTGCGCTAACCTTGCTTTATTAGGTGATTTCTTATGGAATGATTTGTGTTGTAATAAGATTCCTCCATTTCTTTTCTTGTTAGAGGAGGATTGTGATAGAATTTCTATCACATAGTAGGTTGTAATAAGCTTTCTTCTTTATTAGTGCAATTTGCATTTTTCTCAAAAAAAAAAAAAAGGAATTTTAGAACATATAATGAATTCTTGAGTTTGTAGACTCTATTTTTATAATCAATGGTCTCATATTCAGGAGGTATAATCATATATACCTCATCGTCAAGTTCCTCATTTAGGAAGATATTTTTGACTTTTAGACATTTATTTGATGGAGAGTCCAATTTAGGTTAGTAGTAGTAGCAAGAGATAGTATGATGCAAATTAAATTTATCCTACAACTAGTTCAAATGTTTCTTGATAATCAATCTTGAAATTTTGAGTTAACCCTCTTGTGACCAATATAATCATATACCGGCCTTATATTTGACATAGATTATCCATTTGCACCAAACATTTTTCTTTCCCTTTGACAGAGTTGAGAGCTTCCATGTGGCATTCTTTTCTAATGCTCTCATTTGTTCATAAATAACATCTCTCAGTTTAGGTATGTTAAAGGCTTTATAGATGTTGGGAATTCACGGGCATGAAACTAAGGAGATAAGTTACCATAAAAAAATATGCTTGCTAATTAGGTATTTTGTGCAAATCCTTTTAATTTTTGTATATTTCCTTGAAACTAATTATTGTACTACTTCTGTGGGTAATCAAAATTTTGTGATCAATATCAGTATTATCTTATGATTAATATTTTGGATTTGGGTCAGACAGATCATTTTACTTAAGAGAAATGCTTTGATCATCTTTATTGGCTAAATTTTTCCCATGTTTGGCATATTCAATTCATTTTTATCAAGTGTATCATTCAGAATCTTGGGATTTTTTAGGATGTTTAGAGAATGAGATTTGGGTGGTTTAGGGAGAGATGTAGACTAAGAAAGATTTTAATAGATATTCTCATAGAACTTATATTCATAATGAAAGTTGAAATTCTGACATGAACGTTAATTTTGAAAAAGGTTGGTTGATTTTTAAAGAATGTTAGGTCGGTTGATTTTCAAAGAATATCATGTCTATATTATTATAGTGCTTTTTAGAGTTAGAATTGTGACATTTGCATCCTTATTGATTAGGCGAGTAACCAATAAAATTTATTTTATGGCTTTTAGGTCTACTTTACTCCTTTCATGCAGTGCAATGTGAACAAATATAGAGCAACCAAAGACTTTGAGTGGAATAATGTATATGAGTCTATATGCTGGGCGGGTTTCAATGAGAATTTGATGAGGTTTATTTGAATTTAGGTTTCTTGATGGCATCCAATTAATGGGGGCATGAATTGGTTAGGATAACCTCTATTTAATAATATTTTGGAACATTATTAGTATCCTAACGGATATAGTAGTGTCCATAAGGTGTTTATTTTTTCTTTCAACAATTTCATTTTATTGAGGGGTATGAACATAAAAACTAAGCAATCCCTTATTGAAGAGGATGGCGCTGAAGATTTAAATGAAAGTATTATTTTTTATTGCCGGTCTTGAGGATTACAATTGAGGTTTTTAACTTAATTTTTATGTAATAATGGAATTTCTTAATAATGCGTCATTTTTAGATGTATCATCATTAAGAAAATGAAGGAAATCCAGGTGATTCTGGTGTTATCATTAACAAACGATATAAACTGCATAACATTTGAGATATTCATAACTCAAATGGTCCCCAAGTATTACTACGAATGGCTGATAAAGGATGAGAGACTTTGTAAAGTGGGTTGTACATGTTTTTCGTATATTTTGATAATCGATATCTTTTGACAATTGATATATTTCA